TGTAAATCCACCACACTTTGTAGGGACTTTCGCAGGATTGATCGGGAAAACTTCCAGAATTGCCTCAGAAACATTGACTGGACAAAATAATTTACCGCAAACAGTACTGATGAACTAATGAATGTATTTTATCACAACACAAATAGCATTTTCAATAAATTTGCACCCTTAGGATCCTGAGGATCCTGAATTCCCAAGTAATTATATATGGCAGGACATTTACGAAAACGTCTTCGAAGACATGCTTCCAGATTTCATAACTGTAATGACTTCTCCTCATTAGTAACGATGACTGAAATATGTGCCGAGGCAGAAATAACACGTACTAAAAAGGCAATCGCACATAAAAAGAGTGCTATTCAGCTGGACAATGAATCCTCTGCACTTATAAAACTCCTTCGGGATAAACTTAAATGGTTTAAAGTGAAAGGAGGGAGCATATTTATTAACGATAACCAGGTGTATGAAGACCCCAAAAGTATCACATAGCTGTTTAGCGAACAATTTTCTGTTACATTAACAAACGAAAACCCAACCAAACAAATCATACGCGACCGAAATTCCTTCCTGCGAAATCGCCAGTGTTGACTTAAGTGAACAGAACATTTCTAAGGCGATTAGTGCACTGAGGCACTCTTGCGCTGAAGGACCAAATGATATCCCAGCCAGCATGCTGAAAAATGGGAGCAATTATCTGTATGCTATTCTTCTCAAACTATTCGCCATATCACTCTCCACAGAGTGTTACCCTAATAACTGGAAGACTACACATATCATCCCCACAATTAAATCTGGTCCTACAGTGAATGTTGAAAATTACCGACCCATCAACATAACTTCAGTAGTATTAGGGGTGATGGTGAAAGTAGTTAGTGCAGAGTTACTGCAACATCTACTTAGTAACAGTCTGATATCGACCTCATAGCATGGGTTCTTGAGGTATAGGTCGTGTGACACATGCCTGCTAGATTACTTCAATGATATTACGCATAAACAAGACAAAAGGCTTCTAGTGTCTGCCCTTCTACTTTAACAAGGCTTTTGATAAGGTCCCACACAGAAGGCTTCTACCTAAACTAAAGTCATTCGGAATCAGTAACCCGCTACATTCATGGTTTGCTTCGTTCTTAAATGGGCGCCAACAAATTGTTAAGTGCAACGATTTTCTTTCATCACCAAGACCGATAACCAGTGGAGTTATCCAGGGAAGTGTATTAGGTCCACCCTTGTTTCTGATGTACATAAACGATATATGCAATACTATAAGATTTTGAAGAGCATACTTATATGCTGATGATCTGAAAATAGTATACAGCTATAAGCCTGAAGATCTGGACGAAAGTATAGCTAATATTCAGAGTGATCTTGATAACTTAACTACCTGGAGCGAAACGTATTAGCTGCAGTTTAGCCATAATAAATATGGCATCATGCATTTTAGTAAACATCGCCATGATATACCACTCTTCTTACAAAAATTTAGGGTTCAGACACTTACATCAGCGCATGACCTGGGTACCCGTTACCCCAGAAGCCTAAAATTCGAAGAACATGCCTCAAATATTATCTCTAAATCCAGACGACTAACTGGATTTATAAATAAGAATTTCTTGACAAGTGAGGCTAAGCTTACACACTTCAAAATGTGTGTAAGGCCCTCACTTGATTATTGCTCACTTATCTTCTCATGGACAAGATAAGAGTAGAAAATGTCCAAAGAAGCTTCACCCGGCGACTTCTCGGATGGAGCCATAACCTCAACTACACAGAAAGATGCAGATATTTCCCTAGAACCTCTGTGGCGCCGTCTGTTGAAAAAAACCTAATACATCTCTATAAACTAATAAATGATCTCTCGTTCGTAAAATACCGCCCAATTATGAAACACAACACTGCTTACAGACTTCGAAACCGCCTATACACTATTGACGGAAAAACACAAAAAACCATTGCGTTGTAATTTCTTTATAATACGATACAGTCTATTGTGAAACAGGTTACCAATTACTATTCGTATCTGTGACGCAATTACTAAGTTCAAGAAACTGGTGATACTGTTGTTAGGCTCTAAAGAGATTTATCGACCATTCCCGGAACTCACACCAAGTCCCGAGGCATCTTTTATGGTCTACCAAGTATTTAGATACACCTTAGAAACTAATTACAGACTATGAACATCAAAGTGCTACCCGTGACGTTTCTCTAAATTTAAATCCCAATCATTATTTTCATATCTTCAAAGCAGTTTTAGTTTTTATTTCTAGTAGACAGACAAATTGAAAAGCTTGTAGATGCTGAATAACTACTGTCAATTACAAGGAATTCAAACTCCCTGTAGAATTGTGAGTTCCTTCTGCTTTGAGTATTAACGGTTTAATAAATTTTTATTTCCCCAATTCATTAACATCCAAAAACTTTGCCTGCTTACCAACATATCGTTTTTATAAATAACTATTAACATTATTCCAACTCTTTATTTTCTTTCTTCATTTTCCAGCTCACTGTCCTTCCTATCTCCAAACTACCTATTAACTGATACATATCTTACAATGTATACCATTACTTTACTTCAGATTAGTGTGGCATGCTACGTGGATATTTCGTTTTCATACAGAAGGCAAAGTTGTCTGGATTGCTTGTAATGTGGAGCTAGTAGAGAAAGTGAATTCCGATAAGGTGTACAAAAAATAGAGAGTATACTAGAAAACATTACTTACAATGAACCATCAAACGTAAGGGAGCCTAACATCACAAAAAGAGGGAGGGAGGTGAATCTGACCAGCATTCATGACGGTGAGGAGATAACCTCAATCTACCCCTGTCTGTGTGGCAGAACATTTTGATTGCTTACTGCTCCTTACGATATAGCAGGATATAACTAATCAGTGATATTGATGTTACTTTTCCTTGTTAACCTCGTCTACGACTCATATCCGTAACCTTGCACTGGTTTTAACTTCCTATCAAGAAATCCTGTTACAAGCAGATCTGGACATTTATACAGAAAAAGAGCTCATTCATAACTTACTGGGCCAGAGTTAAAAAGAAAAAAAAATTATATATCTCAAAAGCATAAGATCACTGATCCTCACTATTATATTCTAAAAGTCAACATTGTTGCCAACAATTTGGTTATGCTGAATTTCCTTTACTCATATCATTAAATGTCCATTCGTCTTCTTACTGCTGAATTTTCTTCATTAACCTACATAAATGCAGGTATACAGTTAGTGTTTTAATAAAAGAACGTCTGAGTAAACATACCTTTGTTTAATCCAGAAACGTATGTGCTGAGTCATTGTTCGTCTTTGAACAAGAATATTTTCTATTCTGCTCCTCGCCCCGCTCTCTTTATTTCTCTTTTTTCAGCACCTTATTCCAATACTTATGTATTAGTCTGGATATTTGCCGAAGACTTGGTTACTTTACCCAAGAGCCTGTTAATTGATCAACCAGTTCTTGGCACATTTACCTCATCAACTCTTGTTATATGCAGACCTAGCTCTACCTTGAATTGTTTCACGGTCATTAAAAATAGATAGTTATATATTTGCCATTCGAATTGTCCTGATAATAATACACAAAGGACTCGTCCTAAGAATGATAGTGGACCCAGACGAATTATATAAGGGTTACAGTTAGTGAGTATCAGCAAAGTCGACAGACAGACATGAGGCAAGCAATCAAAAAACCAACAAAGTCAGTGTAGTAATCTTAAAGTTACACAGAGAGGTTACAAAATATCTGGAACGACACATGCAAATAATATAATCACTTTAACAAAAGTAGATTAAATTAAAACTCGGAATATTTGTGCTTATTTAACTCCAAGAGCAATATATTATTCGTGTACCTGATTGGAGAGTATTGACTTCGTAATAATAAAAGACTAGCACGTGGTACAATAAGGCATTGTATTTCATACTTTTACTCGAAGAATGAAGTTGAATGGAATGTATAGGCAAATTAACTGGTTCATGAATGAAAGAGACCAAGTAAAGTTTCAAGAATGCTCTGACTAGTGCAATATAATTCCTTAGGTACTTCACACCTCAAAATAACATCCCATCATTAGATTGAATGACGTAATCAACGTTTGTTGGTGTATGAGAATAAAAGGAGAGAAATCATTTAAAAATGCTCCTTAGGGAATTTTCCTTACTAGACCCATGCCACTGTTTTGGTGGCATCCTTGAAAGTTATATGATGATTTTTTCTAAATCTGAATTCACCCTATGCCCTTATTACAAAATAATCCTAAGCCTTTTCCCTTGTTCCTGTTGAAATTTACAGGTCACCAAAAGTTGGGTGAAATAATGACCACACTAGATTTGCACAGAACATTAAGTCACGATCAGAATTTTTTCGTTTCTGAAAAACCGTAATGCTTATAGCTAGCAATGAACGAGGATCTTACATCTAACTCTGGGTTATCCAAGCTGTCACATGAAAGAAAAGGACTTGGACATCACCCTATGTTATATTACCAGCATTTCTTCCTAATGTCATTTTTCAAGGAATGGTTAGAGGGACTAAATAATGTTTCATTGTATTGTTTTATAATTTTTTTAACTTCATAAATCGTTGGTGCACCTTAAGGCTGAAGTATGCTAAAGAGGACATCCATTTAATATCGAATACTAAAGAGCTAATACATAATTCAACGAAACTTTCTCGTAGTTGAAACCAGGAATCTGTAGAATGTCCAACCAGGAGCAGTGGTCATAAAGCCGTATGAAAAGTCTTTAAGAAGAAGATTCAGTGCGTAAATATTACTGTAACTAAGATTTTTCTCCAACAACCCAGACAGAACGTAAATCAGTACTTCCTTCCAACTTAGTTCGAGGTCTAAATTAACTTTCCTTTGTAAATCATATGAAGCATGAAAATGAAATAGTTCTCTTTAGATTCAAAGAAAGATATTATCCTGAGGATAAATTTCAAGGATACTTTAGATTTAATAAGAGGTCCGATATGATTGAATGCTGAAACACCTAACACGCGGGTCGCTTCAATAACAGATGTCCTTGGTAAGAATCGTATGTTATGAAATTCACCTTGTTTGTGGGTTTTGGTCGTAATAGAGTAAGTACTTATAGTCTTCTGTTCTTGGGATTAATACTAATGAAATACATATTCGTCATCAACCCTGGGAACCTATCATCCGTCGACGTGGTGTCCGCACCTTCCATTGAATCGTTCAGAAGACTAGACGCTTTCAGTAGCATACTAGAAAAGGACTTATATAGGCTTTACGTATTCTTTCCCCAACTCATATCCTTGTAATCCTAAATCTTTTTGAGGAAACTTACAAGAACATTCCAACCATTGAGTGGTCATTGATTGGAATGCTTTACCCAAACAAGTGAATTAATCAGCAAGGATTGATACATATCTACTGTGTTACTGAATCTGGATGGTGTTTCCTTCCATCGATCGGTTGGTGTTGAACATCAGTCAGTCAGTCAGATACAACGAAGAACTTCGGACGTACATACATCAGTTTAAGTTGACTTACCACATACCCACAACAGCACACGAGGTGGTAAACTTAAATTTGAGGAAATAGAGTTTCTTGGAGAATTCCTAAGTCTAGTAGAAAGGATTATTTATATTTTATCTCCTCAAAGTTTCTACGAAGTGATGGAATTCCCCCAAAATTTCTATCAGATTGGTTGACTACTTTAATATTTTGATCGGGATAGTTATGTATGTATTAATACAGCTCAAATACAGACTTGCACTGCAATTAGTTGTCCACATTACGTATCGCTTACACCTATCTGCACTTAGAAAGTTATCTTCAAAGATTGTTCATTATGAAAGTGGAGACATACTTCTAACCTGAAAAATATATGCATGGTAATAACGTCATCACTTACATATTGTATCCGAAAAGATTTCTGAAACATGCCAAACAAAATGTATATTCTTTTTAACTTTGTGTAGACGTGTGGTTGGACTTTCTACTCTCAACTGTATTATGTTCTGGACTTATTCATTCCTAGCTGTAACACTAACCTCTCATGACGCTTATGATTTACAACGTAATAGATGCCAAATCATTTCTTATTAATATCGTGTGATCTAACTCTATCCGAACGTAATCAATGTTCTGTATAGAGCACGAAATAATCAGGTGTGAAATCATAAAAATACTAGCAAAACTTTGGCATTTATCAGTGCTCAAATTTTTCGTTTGTTGGGTAGGTAGGTGGTCAACTATTGGTATTTTGGCCGGTGCCCAAAAGCAAATCCGCCTAATCAATCACGAAACATGTTACCTTAGTCATGATTAAGACAGTGTTAGGATACTGATTAATTGATGAATTTATTTTCCATATATCATGTGATAAACAACCTGCTTAATGTTCTGGCCAAAACCGCATACCCATAGTCATGTACTATGAAGTTAGTTTTCATATCATAATCTACCAATCATTGGAAATCCTATTAATATTTAACATTTTTTTTGGATTATTTCCACATTGGGGTTCTGTTCATAATGTCATATTATATATAAATAATCTCTGTTGTATTTTACTCTCTTACAGCTTTAAAGTCTTTAGTTCCAAAGAAACTATTATCCCGTAATGTTTGATAGTCTTTCACGTATCGGGGATACATTTGCGCGGCTACCTTTCTTATTCTTTGTCGAATTAGTAGCAACAAAACGTGTTACCTTTCTTTATGATTATTGGAAACTTTATTCTAATTGGATAACATCAATTTGTCCATCTTGTTTGTGTCCAGATGAATCTCATATCAGGTTTATTATATCAATCGGTAAGATTCTTTAGTTTTGTTAATTATTTATAGTTCTAGCCTCTAAGGATAATCGAGGCTAACAATTTAGAGACTAGCCTCGATTATCCTTAGACGCCTAACTAGAGCTCGTGAAAAGCAGACCAGAGAAAACCAGGCTGGTTTTCGACCTGGACGTGGCTGTATAAACCACATTTTCACACTATGATAGGTCCTGGAACACAGACACATTTAGGCATCCTACAATAGTTGTCTTCCTGGACCTAAAGGTGGCACTTGACTCTGTGGATCGTGAGGTTCTGTGGCAGTGTCTGTCATTAAAAGGTGTTCCAAAAAAGTGTATTAACCTCATAAAAGTTGTCGGACACTACAGGTCCAATGAGAGCTTATGCCGAACTGTCATCTGAATTCTCTACTTCAAGTGGTGTCCGTCACGGCTGTCTACTTGCCCTATTCTTGTTCAATTTTGTCATAGACATGTTCCTATATATAACATTATCTTCGTCTGAATTTTCAGGAGCTGACCTTCTATCAGGAGACACGCTTGTTGACTTAGAATATACCGATGACATAGTTGTTGTTATGAACTTTTGAACAAGATTTCTATATTTAGAAAATATTTTCCATCACTAAATTATATATTATCTGTAAAGCTGATATAAATAGTTAAACTTTGAATAAATTCTGTATTCTTTCTTAAAAATAACATTTATTTCTCATAGCGAGTATACAACTGTTGAATTATTTAATTGTTTCTTTAGTCATATTTATGCATATCAAGAGAATTCATAATGTAACAGAACAGACAGACAGATACAACGCAGAACTTCGTACGTAAGTGCATCAGTTCAGGTTGCCATGCCCCATCAGCACAGAGACGCAACTGTCAGTTCAAATTCAAGAGTGATAGCAATAATAGAAGTATTAGCAGTAATGGAAAAGATTAGGGAGTGAAGATATGATTCGAGAAGTATAATTCAGTGAGATAAATTTAGAAGAAGAAAGATAGAGATTATGAGGAATTCAGAAGGTTAGAATTAGAGAGAACACAAAGAGTGGATGCACCTGCGCCATTGCAAACGATTTTGAGCTATGTCATTCAAGGTCTCTAACCATCGGTGACTTTCGTCTCGCGGACCCCAACCAGGTAGCCTACATCTACCAACATGACTCAGTCCACTTGTCAGTGACTTCATGCATTTGTGCCATGTTTTGGTTTGGCCACCCCTAGCTTTCTTCCAATCTACTCCTACACTGCAAAACATAGCTCATCGCGGCAGTCGGTGGTTAGCCATACGTAACACATGTCCCAACCATCTGAACTGATGAAGTTTCACTACTTCATCTATTGATTTGTCGTCCCTATCTAAAACTCGTTTCCTAACGACAGCATTGCTTATACGGTTGTCCCACGATAAACGAGCAATGCTTCGGAGACATCGATGATTGAAGACTGGTAACCTACGGAAGTCCTCTACTCTTCCGTAGGTTACTAGTTTGTTAAATGTAACTCGTAGTTGCTACCTTGACGTGGTAGTTGGGTTTGCCTATCGTGATGACCCAACCAAGGTATATTGGCTGGAACATATGTTCCTAAAGTATTTGTGGTAATGCAAAAGATTAGGGTTCGACGATTTTATTGAAGTATAATTCAGTGAAATAAAATTAGAAAGAGAAAGTTAGAGGTGATTAGGAATTCAAAAGATCAGAGAACACAAAGAATGAATGCACCTGTGCCATTGCAAACAGTTTTAAGTCTCTAACCATCGATTACTATCACTCCGCGGACCCCTAACCAGATAGTCGACACCTACCAACATGGTTCATTCCAGCTGTCAGTGACTTCATGGATTTGTGGCATGTTTTGGTTCGGCCGCCTGATCTGAACAAAACAGCTATATTTAAACTGTTCAATATATACATATATATATACACTCTCAAATATATATTCCGTACTAATATTTTTTAAATCTCTATTCTATTCTTTTTTTTTATTTTACATTTTCAGCTTTCATTATATGCGCAATCACTTCAGTTATCTACATTAAAGGCATTTTCATTGTTGTATTTATTGTAACAAATCTTTTTCTTATTTATATCATGTTCATGAATTATATGTCGTTATTATACACAATCACATTACCGACATCTTCATCCGCTTTAACCTCTTCTTATTCTTCTTCTTCTTCGCCCGCCTCCGCTTCCGTCTCCGCCGCGATTTATTCCTTCTTGTCATCATCACCTTCATCGTCATCTTCACTGACAGTACTTATACGATGGCATTGTCTGTTAGGCTGTTTATTACTTCTTACTTCACTTTTATTCATGTTTATTCATTCAATATTTCGACGTATACCATCATATAAATATATGATTATTACAATTCTTTATCTATCTATTCTACTTATCTCTTCATTACCTATTCTAATTAAATTTTCATCAATAGATTGGACAAAATCTGAACAAATTAAATCAACAACACTACCTAATCGATATTATTCATTTCATCCACGTATTATTCATGCTAAATTGAGTATGAGTAGTAATAATAATAATAGCAACAATAATGATAATTATTATTATAATCATTTTTCACCAACTTGGTTATTTTATATGTATACCATGTTTAAACCGAATTGTTGTGTCAAATCATCACTGTCTTCTACATCTAGCATAGATTGTAATTGTCAATCAATTTGTCTATTTCAACCGATTCATTTATTGTCATCTGTATCATTGAATAATGTCGCGATCAGTAATGATGATGTTGGTGTTGGTGATGTTCATGAGAATCAATTCATTATTATCTCTCAATCCATATATCAATGCGACCTGATCTTATCAACATGTTCTTATGGTTTATTTAGTATATATCTGCTATTATTGCTGTATTGTTTAAGTATAACAGATATTTATGAAATATTTATGTCATGTATTGATATAGAATTAGAATTATATCGTATTGGTCTAGTGGATTATATGACATTTCATTGGAATCGATTAAATGTACCACAAATTCTAATGTATTTTTGGTCATTCAAAGTAATGTCTGTTATTGTATTCGGTTCAATGTATTGGAAAATTATACCCACTGGTGATATGAATGTAGATAAAATCTCAGCAAAATTATTCAACTCATCTACATTAAGTGATTATAATAATTTGAATATAACAAATCAATCTACATTATCACTGTTGTATACAAGATTATTTGTTGGCCTATTTGTACATGGTTCCGAGACATGGTTATCAGTATGTGGTGCAGCGGCATTTTTTGGTGCGCTAGCTACAATATTTGTTTCAATGTTAGTCTTTTTATTAGATCCATCCGGTACAGGTACAGCTCGTTTAGCCGGTGTAGTCGCTGAAGCACCAGCTGATCCACATGCATGGAATGTTATTGATGATCCAGCATTGGCATTAGATCAAAATGATGTGATTGCTTTGGAATTATTAGCTAGTACTGGATGGAATTGTGCTGTTGTATTTTTATTTTTAGCTTTTCAATCCGATATGCCTAATCTTCCACCAGTTTATCGTGCATCATGCTTTATGTATGGTATTATGGTATTGGTGATTGCGTGTATACATCCCATTCAAGCATTGATTAAATCATTTTTATTACGTCTTGGTGCACCTGGTCAACAAACTAATTGGTCAGAACATATTAGACCATTATGTTTTTGTATTGTGCTGATTATTGCTGCATTCAATATGTTTACTAGTCTACCGAAAATATTAACCAATGACAAGTTGGAATATATTCGTCATATGAATCATAGTGAAGAGAATACATCCTATTTAGCTGTCTTATCACATATTGGTTCATCGGAGGAAGCTATACTGGCAAGACGATTAAGAATATTTTTGAGTGGTTGTCAATTATTAATTAGTTTATTGGTTACATTGATTGAATATGCTATTTATCAATATTCATATCGTTATCCTAATTGGACTGGGTTTCAACCGACAATATTTTGGACAAAAGTGATTAGTTCAGTAATTGATTATTTTATTTCATTATTATCATTTCTCACTGTATGTTGGTTGGTATTCTATGATTCATTTGGTCTATGTCGTCTATTTATTATATGTTGTTATTTCACATTAGTTTTATATCCATCTGCACGTAGAGCATATGTATGGATGAAATGGCGTTTATTATGCACAAAACGTATGAATGATTTAGTGAATCCAAATAAATTACAATTAGAACGTTATGGGGATACATGTCCAATATGTTTTGCTGAAATGACTATTACAACAGCGAAAATTACTCGTTGCGGTCATTTGTATCATTCAGAATGTCTTATACAATGGATGAAGCATAAATTAACCTGTCCAATATGTCAATCAGATTTATTATCAACTAGAGTTACAAATAAACGACGTGAAGCAACAACAACTACTAATACTACTACTACCAGTAGTAGTAGTAGTAATGGTTCATTGCAAGAACACATAGATGCGGGAATCGAATAAAATTCAGTTGACCACACATACACGAACACAAATCCAGAATGCTCAGAATGTACAACTTTATTTATTATTATTGTTATTGTTATCATTATTATTATGATTATCATAATCTTTTCACTGTGTCAACCCTTTCCATAATAAAAAAATCAAAGCAGATAAAACCAACTAACCAAACCAAGGAGAGTGATCATCCCTTCAATAATGATAATAATGTAAATGAAAAATTGTTAATTATTTTTAATGCCTTCACTGGAAAAAACTGTACACATTAAATTAAGTAATTTTGTTTTGTTTTTTTTGTTGGTTTTTGTTTTAAAGAATTAAAAAAAAAATATGGAAGGCATTATTGAGTTGAAACGCCCGCCAAAAACAAACATCTGCGTGTGTGTGTGTGCATGTGTGTACGTGACTTATTGTTATCACATTCGCACACACATACACACAAACACACATTATATTATATTATAGTAGTACATAAACAGAGAGAAAAATGTACACTACATTTTTTTCGACATGTAATATGTCTATTTTTGCAAGATGAAGAAAAAATAAACGAAAATAAGAATACTAAATTTTAATTTTTTGGCTTTATAATTTTTTATTTATCTGCTTGTCAGTTTTGAAAGACACTTGATATATATAGTGAGGATCACTGCTTCC